ATCCACTCTTGGTGATATATGCAAAAGACCGTGACACAGGTTACTCCAGAGGCACCTGCACACCCATGTTTATTGCGGCACTATTTACAATAGCCAAGTTATGGAAACAGCCGAGATGCCCCACCACCCGACGAATGGATTAAGAAAATGTGGTATCTATACACAATGGAATTTTTATGCAGCCATGAAGAAGAATGAAATGTTATCATTCGCTGGTAAATGGATGGAATTGGAGAACATCATGCTGAGTGAGGTTAGCCTGGCCCAAAAGACCAAAAATCGTATGTTCCCCCTCATATGCGGGCATTAGATCAAGGGCAAACACAACAAGGGGATTGGACTTTGAGCACATGATAAAAGTGAGAGAGCATACAAGGGAGATATGGGATAGGTAAGACACCTAAAGAATTAGTTAGCATTTGTTGCCCTTAACGCAGAGAAACTAAAGCAGATACCTTAAAAGCAACTGAGGCCAATAGGAAAAGGGGACCAGGAACTAGAGAAAAGGTTAGATCAAGAAGAATTAACCTAGAAGGTAACACACACGCACAGGAAATTAATGTGAGTCAACTCCCTGCGTAGCTATCCTTATCTCAACTCGCAAAAACCCTTGTTCATTCCTATTATTGCCTATACTCTCTCTTCAACAAAATTAGAAATAAGGGCAAAATAGTTTCTGCTGGGTATCAAGGAGGTGGGGGGGGAGAGGGAGGGGGCAGGGTGAGTGGTAAGGGAGGGGGTGGGGGCAGGGGAAAGAAATGACCCAAGCATTGTATGCACATATGAATAATAAACAAACAAATAAATAAGAAAGAGGACAACCTTCCCTGATAGAGGAGGACTGTTCTTTAGTCAAGGGTATACAAACAGGTACACTCCCCTGCTAGAACCTCCAAACTCTCAGGGTCCATAAAAGGGAACCAGGGTAATACAACTATTTACCTTGCAATGTACTGTGAGCAAAAAAGTATAAACTATACTACAGAAGAAAAAAAAAATACAGAAGTAGGAACCACTGTGAAAATTTTTTCTTATTCTGGGAATAAGATCATAAATACTTTAAATTTTTTTGAGGCATACTATACAGTTTAAAGAATAAAACAAGCAAGGGAGCTCCACAATACACTTGAATTAAGAAACTACTGTTACCTTTTTTGTGGTACTGGAGTTTGAAGTCAGGACCTTGTGCTTGCTGGGCAGGTGCTCTTCCACTTGATCATACCCTCAGTCTCCCCCACTTTTTTTGGTCTTTCAAGTAGGGTATCACATTTTCCCGGGGGCCAGCAGACCGCAACCCTCCTACCTATGTCTTCCTGCATAGCTGGGATGACGTGCATACTGGGCATGCCCGTCTAGCATGTCATAAATTTTAAATGGGAAAGAGATAATGGGTATTTCTTGGCAACATTATGCCAAAAGGTGACTGGTTTCAGAGCGGACTTCAAGTACAACTTAGTTTTACATATCAGAAGATAAGCAAACACACTCAGACCTGAGACCATCCCCTTATCCCGATCTGGCTTCACCACCTCACTAGGCCACTGCTGCTGCCACTTACTTCCTCACACAGGTTACCATGCCCCACTCAGAGATCTCCCCCTGACAGAACTCAGGCTCTAATCTGTACATACCAGCCAGCGCCTTTCTCACTGTGGGGTACTGCTCTTGCTTAGCTCTACCTAAATGCTTTTGTTTTTTTTTGTTTTGGTTTGGTTTTTTTTTGTGGTGCTGGGGATTGAACTCAGGACCTGTATGCTTTTGAACTGAACGATTCAATAAGGTATGAAGGAAGCAAAGCCTTTATAATGTTCTTATACTGGGGGGATCCACAGCTAACTTTTGAAAGTTCACTGCCATTGCTTTATTATCACACCTTGTATAATTTTCTCAGGATTCCATTGATATTAATATTTGTATAGTTTATCCTAGGCCCTTGCCAGAGGTCCTTGTTGCCTTGAATCTACACAGAGAAATCTCACATGTAGTCCTTTTGAGTAGTGCCCCTTTCAACAACTATTATTTCACATGGTCTCATGAACCTAAAATGTCTCCACCCATACTCTGCGGAGACCGCCTATTATAAGGAACCTCGGGATTCAATCTGAGCTTAAGTGCAGAAGGATCTTAAAGGAATGTAAAGAAGGCTGGAAGCATAGCTCAAGTGTTAGAGTACCTGCCTAGCAAGTTCAGGACCCTGAGTTCAAATCCTAGTACCACTAAAAAAAAAAAAAAGAAGAGGAAGAAAGAAAACAAAAACAAACCATTTCAGGAACTTCAAAAGGCCTGAGACTGGAATGTGCATGGCATATCTGAAGAATGACAAGGTGGACAGAATGCCTGAAGGGTAGTGTGTGAGGGGAGAGCAGAGGAAGAGGTAAACCTAGGTAGGTCATGTGTGGCCTTAAAAAACGTGGTAAGGGGCTGGGAGCATAGTTCAAAATGGTAGAACGCCTGCCTAGCAAGCACAAGGCCCTGAGTTCAAATCCAGTACCATAAAAAAAAGAAAATCAATGGTGAGTTGAATTTGATAGTAGGTGTGATGAAAAGAACATAAACAAACAAATGGCATGTTGGATTCATGCTTTGATGAGACCAGACAAGGAACTGGTTAAAGTGGTTGCTTGTCTGTATATCTTTTGTACTTCTTTATTATTTCATTTTGTTTTATTTCTTTGCTATTTGCTTTACGTTACTGTGTCAAATGTTGCTTTGAGTTTCAGAAAAGAGAGTGCTGATAATTGAACATTGAACTTGATAATACTGAAGCCAATGAGGACTTTGATGAAGAAAGTGGGAAATATTAGAAAAGAACAGCTGAATTGAAGGGGAGCCAAGAGAAAAGAAGAGCACAAATTGTGCAGACAGCAAGTATAGACAACTCTTCAAAGTCTGCTACAAAATGGAACTGAAGTTGGAGGAACATGGCATCAGGAAAGGAGATGTTCCGTTCTGTTTGTATGCCAATCGTGAAAATACACAGAAACGGGGAAAAAAATGATGATCTAGATAAGGGGTATTTGACAAAGGTAAATCTGAGAGAAGTGAAAAGTGGAAGATCTAGTCTGCATAGGTGAAAAAGTTGATGTTAGATAACAGGAGGACAGTACATTCCTTTTAATAAGAAAGAAGGTAAGAAAAATACATGCATAAGGATGGAGATTTGGTAATGAGAAGTGTGGAAGTCTGCTGGTTTGAAATTTCTCAGTGATACTAGTAGCAAGAAAGAGGATGTGTAGGCAAGAAGATCTGCAGGCGTGAAGAGAAGGAAAATATGAAATGATGGCTGCTGGGTGTTAACTTTGTACAGACCTTTATTTTCTAAGTCTTTTCGCTGCTTCATATTGTAAGCTTTTAGAGTCCAGAAGTTATGCTTACTTCATTTGTTCTATATGTAGAAAAAAAGGCATACACAAGGCTTAGATAGCAAAGATGTCAAGAAGCATTGACATCTGAGCATTGCTGGGCAACCCGGATATGAAGGTTCACCTAACTGAAGGCAATGTAAACGTATGTATACTTATTAATTGTGAAATATCACATTTTTGGCTTAAACAAATAGAAGTATAAAGGGTATATTCCATTCATTCAAAAAGTCACAAACATATATTCGTCAAGTGGCATCTTTTTTAATCCTCTAAGAAGTCTATGATGTTATAGTTATTCATATTTAGTGGGGCGCCAGCAGCTCATGCCTGCAATCCTAGTTACTCAAGAGGCAGAGAGCAGGAGGATTACAGTTTGAAGCCAGCCCCAGGCAAATAGTTCATAATACTCTATCTTAAAAACACTTATCACAAAAAAGGGCTGGCAGAGTGGCTCAAGTGGTAAGAGTGCCTGCCTAGCAAGAATGAGGCCATGAGTTCAAACCCCAGTGCTGCCAAAAAAATAATAATTATACATATTTAAATCACAGTGGCAAACGGGACACCTGGTTTTTCCAGTCACATGATTGAATGTCCTGCCATTTAATTTACTTCCTATTTTATGATCTTAAAGTTAATCTTATTAAGGTCAAAAATGTAAGTATACATATTGTCATATTTATAACATCATTCAGCCTTTTTCCTGGCCTGCTAAAAGGAATACTTACCAATATCAGTTTCCTGATTATTTTCACTGACCTTGGATGTAGCTAGCTTAGACTAGTAGCAGCATTATATGTACCTAAATAGAATAAAGTTGACCCTTGAAAATAAGTGCACATGTCAATATCAGAAAGTGGTTTTTAAGGATTACATTTGTTCCCTGTATTTATAAATAATTAATATACTTCTTAATTAATTACACTTATAAATACTTCTACAAGTTGAGATTACCCAAACTTTAACAGAATGAGAACTAAGAAAAAAACAAAACACATTTGAAAATATTTTCCACAATTCTCTTTCCATCTCATTTATTAGTGATACATAAGGTCTGCTTCACTTTTTAACACTCACTTAAAGAAACCTAAACCTCAATAGTCTATGATAACTTAATGTTTCCTGTTCGTACCTTTCCTGTTCCTATTCAACAAATCCAATTCTTGTATTAAGAATTCTTGTGGGGGCTGGTGGAGTGGCTCAAGTTGTAGAGTGCCTGCCTAGCAAGCATGAGGCCCTGAGTTCAAACCCCAGTACCAACCTCCCACAAAAAATTTTGTGAATACTGGTATTTGCAATTTCTAAAAGATTCTCAGATATACAGGTCTCCTCCAGTGTCAGAGTAATTCCATTTTTCCAATCTCTTGGACTAGATAAAGTTGTTTTGTTTACATGAAAATATACGGTAAGGCCATATCACAGCATTTAACAATTTGTATTGTAACTCTTAATTTGCTTGTCTATATTCCCCTCTACACTAAACTAAATTCTAAACTCGACATTTGGGGCCATGTGCATCAAGGTCATCTTTGTATCTTCAACTTGACATACAGTAAGATGCTGATGAAATATATGCTGACTCAATCAAAGTCCCAGCACCCTGGAGAGTGAATAGGAAGAATTAGCAAGGCCACTTACCTGTGAGATCCAGAGTTCTGTCCACAAACACCAAGGATGCCCTGCCCGGAGCAGTTTTCCTCCTGGTCTTGGCAGGAGCATAATTAGCCAGATCTGCAGCGATAACCCGACTGAAGGGACCCACAGCAAAACACTCCTCCCGTACCCCTAGATGCTCACACAGAGAACTGAGGCCTGACACCAGGCATCTGATCTGCAGCAGCAGCTCTGGGGGCAGGACAGTGGCATCCACCTCACCCAGGCTGCCCAGCCTCCTCTTGTCCGGACGGGCATTATTAAGGAGATGTACATCCTGGGGTAGCAATGGGAATAGGGTAGCAAAGGCTGGAGTCAAGGCAATGTGGGTAGCAGCAGGGGCGAGTAACAAGGGGACGTACAGCACCTCGGCCGTGTAGTTCAGGTTGCCCATCCACTCACACAGCTTCTCCTCCAGCTGCTCGAACACCGGCTGCTGCCCTTCCAGCTCGGCCGCTGCAGCCGCTGGCACGTGGTTAGCCGTGAGGTGGACAGCGTGGCTCACGGCCGAGACCACCACACAATACTGAAAGTGACTGCGGCAGATAATGTCCCGTAGAATCTCCACGGTCCGGCCTTTCAGCAGGCCGCTCAACACGAACAACGCCTTGGGCTGCTCAGCTCCACCACCAACTGCATCGCGCTCGAACTCCCGCACGTGACACGCAGGACCCCCCACCGCCTCCAGGAGCCGCGAGGATCCGCAGCCCCAGTGCAGGCTTTCGGCGCAGGCGGCGTCCAGGTAGACCAGAGCCCGTTTCGCTTTGACCAACACCTGCTCCCAGCCTTGCTGGGTAAAGGACAGCACTCCGGGAACGCTCATGGCTCGGGGTTCGCAGTGTCGGGGAACTCGCGTGCAGGAACTTCTGTCAGAACTCACCACTTCCGGAAAATGGGTTCCAGAAGACTTTGACAGTCAACACGGTACACGTGGTTCTGTCTCTGACGAGCCCAGTGACCGCGCGCGATGATGACGTCACGGACCGCTGATTGGCTAGGGAAGAGGCCAGGCTAGAGGGACGGCTGGGCTGGAATGAGAAGTGGGCGGGGCTCCATGCTTCCAAGCTTCCTCAAAAGGTCAGAGATGAGAAGGGGTTGTCTAGAAAAGAGCTGAACTGCTATATTAATGTGCCTCTCTGCTCATATAACCTTTCCTGTTCTCTGAGAATTCTTAGAAATAATAAAACCTTAAGTTTTTATATCTTCCTTAGATCTGAACACATCTCTGAAAGCACAGCCACTTTCCCCATCTAAACTCTAAGCATTCAGAGAAAATAATGGAAACAACGAACTGTCGTGTAATATTTTGTAGTTTACAGATTGCTATCACATGCATTATTGCACACAAGCCTCATAAAAATACATACTGGTCTCATTTTCACTTTGCCCACTTTTTTTTTTTTTTTTTTTTGACAACACTGGGATTTGAACTCTGGTGTCTTACTAGTCAGGTGCTCTCCCATTTGAGCCCAGCCCCTCCTACCTATCCTTTCCTTGTAGGTGAGTCTCACTTTGCCCACTTTTTTTTTTTTTTTTTTTTGACAACACTGGGATTTGAACTCTGGTGTCTTACTAGTCAGGTGCTCTCCCATTTGAGCCCAGCCCCTCCTACCTATCCTTTCCTTGTAGGTGAGTCTTCACCTGGCTTCTTTTGTTGGAAGGGTGGGTTCTCTAACTTTTTACCCAGGCTAGCCTCCATTCTTCCCCTCACAATCCATTCTCCTGAGTAGCTGGGGTTACAGTCCTAAGCCATAGCACCTGCAGGCTTTCTCCATTTTTCCCACTATATCTAAATATTTTTTTGGTGGGACTGGTGATTGAACTTAGGGCTTCATGCTTGCAAGGTAGGTGCTCTACCCCCACACCTCCTGTCCCTTTTGTTCTGGTTGTTTTGGAGATGGGTTCTCACCAACTAGTTGCCCAGGTTGGCACCAAACTTCAATCTGCCTGATCTCAGCCTCTCAAATAGCTAGGATTACAGGTGTGAACCACAGCCCCCAGCTGCATCTAAATCTTGATCAGCTTCAAAACTCCTGCAATCTAGTTCTTCCTCTCTATCCTTGCTGCCATCCATTTCTCACCTAGACAGTTGCAATAATCCTCCACTATAAGTTTTCCATCTCTTTTCACCTCCAATTCAGTTTTCTTCCTGATAAATTAAGCCGATCCTACCACTTTCCTGCTTAAAAGTTTCACCTGGCCCAGTTGCCTACAAGACACATCGAGGCTCTATCAAAATCCTTCATGATTTCTCAATTTCTCTCCTGCTGCTCCCAGCCTGAAACTTTAAGTACCTATACAATGAAGTCAACAGACCAAGCCCAGACTGTTTCATGCTTTCAGTTTTTTAAAGCAATATTTATTAAGCACTTATTAATGTAATCATTATGCCAACCTCCAAGGAGACAATGGTTAATAAAGTACGTTATCTAATCCACAAAGAGCTCACCCCGGGTAAATGCTTGCTCTTCGGAAATAGTCATTCCAATAATATCTCCCAGGTATGGTTTTTCCTAATTCACCACCTCCGCTAGTCTGTCCTCTTCATTCCCTGACACAATCCTCAGTTGAAAATTCTGCTAAGTAGTTGACATCATTGGGAAAGTTTTAACACACCTGTATTCCTTAACATATCCGTTCTACCAGACTGTTAACTAGAGGCACAGAGTTCCCCAAGCCTAGAAGATAACGGCTGTTCAATAAATGTTAAATGTTCAGTTACTTACTATTCACATAATAAATAATACATTCAACACTTATTTATTTATTGACTGTACTGGAGTTTGAACTCAGGGCCTTACACTTAGATGCTCTACTACTTGAACCATGTCCCCAGCCCTTTTTGCTATAGTTAACTTTCTAATAAAACCTTGCATTTATGCTTAGGCCATCCTAAATCTCAATCCTTCCTATTTATGCTTCCCGCATACCTGGGATACAAGGCATGTGCCACCACACCCAGCTTTTGTTGGTTGAGATGAGATCTCTCAAATCTTTTTGTCTGGGCTGGACTTGAACTGCATTCCTCCCAATCTCAGCCTCCTGAATAGCTAGGATTACATGCATGAGCCACTGCCTCCAGCTCAACCAACTTTTAATGAGCATATACAGTATTCCAGACACTCTGTTGAGTATTCAGGATATAAAGAAAAATAAGCTACAGCCCAACTCCCAAAATAATTATAATGAAAGAAAAGGACACATACACGTGAACAAGTGTAATAAAATGTTACGGAAGCAAAGATTTAAAAAAATACAAAGGAGTAAAAATAAACTCTGAGTAAAAGAAAAAGGGAAGTGGTCAGAAGCCCTGACTCAGAACATGAGTTTTGAGTTGCCCTCAAAGAAAACCAGGTGTTCACCAGGTGGACAGGATGGGACGGGGTTAGGATTCCTGGCAGTGCAGGCAGGAAGTGCAGAATAATGACAAGGCAGGCAAAGAGACACAAAACAGTACAACATGTTCTCTGCAACTACAAATGGGTTATTATGGCTGGAGTGTATTTCATGAAGAAAGGCCTAAGAACAAATAGATGCAAGAGATTAGAATAGAAAGGAACAGATTAAATCAGGGCAAGTCTTTATTTTCTATTCCAAATAGTAGTAGCCAGTTGAGAACTATTAAAGTGTTTTTAGGAATGGGAATAATTTGCTCACCTCTAGATTTTAGAAGAAAATATTCCAGATTGTTATGTGGAAAATAATTTGAAATGGAGCAAGATTTAGGGCAGAGGGAGCCAGCAACAACCCTGGGTGAGAGTTGATAGGGAAAACAGTAAAGGAGATGGACAGATTGAAGTGTATAAAGGAAGTTCAGAAGACAGTGACATGCAAAATGTGGTGGCACCCACATACCTGTAATCCAAGTGCTCCAGAAATGGAAGCAGGAGGATTGAGAGTTCAAGGCCAGCCTCATCAAGTTCCTGGCCAGCACGGGATACACAGCTAGAACTTGCTCAACACTAAACAAACAAAAAAGGCTCAGTGATTCATTTGGCAGAGAGAAAGAGGCAATGGAGAAATTTTAGTTTTCTGTTTGGATGGTTAGTAAATAGCAGCTACTGAAATTTAGAAAACCAGAAGAGAAGCAGACTGGAGGATAAATACACTGAGTTTTGTTTGTTTGTTTGTTTGTGAGACATTAGATTCATTATCTTAACCATTTTGAAGTGAGTGGTTCTGTAGTCTTAAGTATTCACATTGTTGTATAAGCAATCTCCAGAACAACTCGTCTTGCAAAATTGAATCTGTACTCTTTAAACAACTCTCTATTTCCCCTGCCTCCACCCTCTGGCAACCTCCATTCCACTTTCTGTTTCCATAAGTTGAACTACTCTGGATTCTTCATGTAAGTGGAACCATATAGTATTTGTTTTGTTGTCATTGACTTATTTCAGTTAGTATAACATCCTCCACATTCATCTATATTGTAACACATGTTAAAATTTCTTTCCTTTTAAAAACTGACTAACATTGCATAGTACATACACACCACATTTGTGTATCATATGTCAATAGACATTTGAGTTGATCCCACCTTTTGACTATTATGAAAAATGCTGCTATGAACATGGATGTACAAATGTCTCTCTGAGATCTGCTTTCAATCCTTTTGGATACATATTTTGAACTGAAATTTCTGTATAAAACAGTAATTCTCTTTTTGACTTTTGAGGAACCTCTTTTTCATATTAACTGCACCGTTTTATATTCCTACTGGCAGTACACAAGGACACTGATTCTCTGCATCCTTTCCAACACTTCATATTTTCTGCTTATCTTGTAAGTAGTCATCGTAATAGGTGTGGAGTCATACTGTTTTGAAGATTCTTGTGGACATGTAGGTACAAATGTCTAGTAGGCTGTTGAATGTATGATTCTGGCTTGCAGGAGAGAAATCTGTTCACTTGGGAATCATTAGTAAATGGGTGTACTTCAGACTGCATGAAGAAGAAAGAAGATGAGGTGATGGAGAGAGTTTAGAGAAATCTTTATAGATGGCAGAAGAAGTGAAGTGGGCACATGAAGTGACAGGGAAGCATGTCTCAAGAGCAGTGACCAATGGTGTCAAGTGTTTGAGAAAGTAAAGGTAAGATGGAATCCAGAAAGAATGCATAGGATTTGAATCTCTGCAGCCAGGAAGTGCAGACATGATGGGGGAGCACTAAGAGTGTAGAATGAGTCAATAGATGGGGGAAATGAGGCCCCTAGGAACTACCTCTATAAGGTTGGAGAAAAGAGGATGTTGAATGAGTAAGGAAGAAAGCTGGAAGAATATGAAGTTAGGGTCAAAGAAAGTAAGTTGCCCTCTAAAATTCAAGAGGGGACTATTCTAGGTTTTAATCAGATCCAAAGCATAGTCCTAAACATGGTGTGCTGAAGTGGTGTGAATATCGTTGAATAGATTCCAGAAAGTTAAAAAACAAACCAACAAACAAACAAATAAAACATGAGCCAATTAGATGTGCAAGTATGTCATTATGATGCTAAGTAGCAGATGAAAAAAAGACTTTTTCCCATGTCAGTCTGCAGTGTCATCATGAACAAGGGGAAACAAAGAGGGTGGGGGCAGAGACAGTTAATCTTGATGGCATGAGCTGAGAAGGACATAAATTTCCACAGCAAAGCAGAACCATCATGGCCTGGTAGTGGCCCATGAGAGCCAGGGAAATGGCAATACTATCACCAGGCTCCACGGCACAGCAGGGAGAACGATAATGGAAGTCATGTAGTGTAGAAAAATGGAAGTACTGTCCTTGGAGGGAAGTTGGGTTTCAGTGAAAGTGAACAATGCAGACATCTTTCTCCTAACTTTCTTTCTTTTTTCTTTTCTTTTTCTTTTCCTTCCTTTCTTCCTTCCTTCCTCCTTTCTTCCTTTTTATTCCTTCCTTCCTTCCTCCCTCCCTTCCTTCCTTTCCTATCAGGTGGGGATGGAACCTAGGACCTCTCACATACTAA